AGAGGTGGGAGGATTGGTTGAGTCCAGGAGTTCAAGACCAGCCTGGGCAACGTAGCAAGACCTCATCTCTACAAAAAAGAAAAAAGTTAGTCGGGCGTGCTGGCACACACCTGTAGTCCCAACCTGGGTGACAGTGAGACCTCAACTCAAAACCAAAAAACAGGGAAATCTCTAGAGATATAAAATAGATTAGTGGTTGCTTGAGGCTGTTGGGAGGTAGGGATGGGGATGAAAATGCTCTAAAATTGACTATGATGATGTTTGCACAACTCTATGGATATATTAAAAATTGTTAGCAAACGGATCTCTTAAGCCCAGGAGGCATACCCTTGTATGCCCTAGATGGCTGAATAATGCACTTACGCGTTTAAAACATTTTAAAGGGTATATGATTGTACACTTCAGAAAAAAGGGATTTTGTTAGGGGGACACATACATAATCCTCTATATGTATATAAACATTGAATCCTGCTAATTACTAGACATTTTTAGATAGTAAAGAGAGTTACTGTGTTCACCATGAAGGCCCTAGAAAGTCAATGCATAGGAGAAAAAGACGATTTCAGAATTCTCCATTATGGTCATCCAAATTCATGGACTTCAATAGCTGAAAACTTAATTAATCTACCACAGGCTTCAGCTCAAACGCTGGTGTTCTTGTCAGTGCCAAGGACAAGAGCAAGTTTTGGCGAAACATCCACATACGTGGTGCAGTCTCTTCCCAAAATTCAAGGATTTGCCCCAGGCAAGTTTGAAGTTTCCATGTAGTGCTTTCCTTTGAGGGGTGCTAAGGCCACAGTAGACCCCAGAGGTGTCCTTTTCACTCCTTCCCTTGGAGAACACTCAAAGGCCATTTTACAGAACACTAAGGACTGTATTTTAATTTCTTAGATCCTATCAGGTGCATTCAGAAACTTGCGCTCACAGGCTAAGCCATGAACTCAGAAACTGTATGAATCTTAATATTTAATATGATGCATTTCAACCAATTCAATGAAATACTTACACAAGGCTTGAAACAGAAGAGTTGGTATCTGCCTACTTTAATCCTAGGCGGCCTGCGGTATTCTTTCTTGAGTCACGTGAGTTCCCAGTGTTAACCCTGAACCGCAATCTCTGACCTGAATTGTACCACGTCACCCCTCACCAACCTTCCTCCCTTCGCATCAAACTCTCATCCCTGTCCTGAAGTCAAAATACCAGTTGCCCACCGAGACAAAGCACAGAGCAACCTCCAAGCTAAGCCAGAAGAGGACTGGGGTGGGGAAAAGTGAGTCTAAGAACTCTGTTCCCAAGAGGGTGGGCAACCCCAAGGAGACAACATCCAATTAAGTCAGACATCCCTGAGTCGGCAGACAAGCCTAAGCCTCATCTGTCTCGTGTGGCTTCTTCTTTTCATAAAGCTCAATTTAGAAACAAACTAGGATAAGCCCTCTGTGCCCCTGCCTCTGAGAAAAACCATTAGCCTTTTTTTTTAAGAATAATTATATTTCAAAGAAATCTTTTATCCTTTTATGAAAATATCCCTTTGAATGGCTTTGTCAACTTTTAGTAAGCATTCCTGGCCAAGATAAAAAGCCTTATTTTTTTTTTTTTTTTTTTAACAAACCAGTATTTGTATAAAACTTGACTTCACCAACATTAAAGTGCTAAAATTGCAGGGCTCAATGGTTTGTAAAATCCTTAAACTATAATGCTAAGAAGGTTTTTAATTGATTCCTTAATGAACTACAAGTTACTGACAACCATTAGCAATTCCTATTTAAACACATAGTCGAGGCAAATCAAATGCTCAAAGCCATTTTACAGATCATTAAGGACCACATTTTTTATTGTTATTTATTTATTTATTTGAGTTGAGGCCTCACTCTGTTGTCCAGGCTGGAGTGCAGTGGCACGCTCATGACCCCTGCAGCCTCTACCTGTGGGGCTCAGGTGATCCTTCTGCCTCAGCCTCCCGGGTAGCTGGAACCACAAGCGCTTGCCACCACACCTGGCTAATTTTTAAATTTATGGTAGAGACAAGGTCTCGCCAAGTTGCCCAGGCTGGTCGTGAACCCCTGGGCTCAGGCAATCCTCTCGTCTCAGCCTCCCAAAGTGCTGGGATGACAGGCATGAGCCACCACATCCAGCTAAGGACCACATTTTAATTTTTGAGGCCCTATTCAGTGCTTTTGGAAACCTATGCTCACAGTAGAAGCCATGAATTCAGAAATTGTATGAATCTTCATATTTAATATTATATATTTCAACCAATTCAGTGACATGCTTATATGAAGCTTTAAATAGAATTGGGGTATCTGCCTGTACTTATCTTTCCTCCCACCAAAAAAAGGAAAAATAAAACCATACAACGAGTAGCCAATTGAAATCCCTCTAACTAATAATAAAATCGGTCCCAAAAGTCAGTTTTCAGTCTTTATGACAGAACAAGTAGTGAGGCTGCACACTACTCAAACTCTTAAGAATCTTCACCAAGCCGGGCTCGGTGGCTCAGCCTGTAATCCCGTGCCCTTGGGAGGCTGAGGCGAGTAAATTGCCTGAGCCCGCGGGTTCGAGACCCGCCTGGGCAGCGAGACCTCATCTCTACAATAAATCAAAAAATCAGTCGGGCGTGGTAGCGCTTGCCTGTAATTCCGGCTACTCGGAAGACTGAGGCGGAAGGATCGCCGGAGCCCAGCAGGCGAGGCTGCGACCGAGTGAGACTCTAACTCAAAAAAAAAAAAAATCTTCACCTTCCATGGAACTAAAGAATTTAGACAAAAACAAGGGCTCCATCTTATTCCCGCCAGTTTCTGCATGCACAGGTGGATAAAACAAAATAAAGTAACAAATAGGGACTAGGCAAAATGTTGAAAACATTCTCAAGGTGAAAAAGAAAAGTAACTCTTCAATTCCAATGTCCTTACATGCTATCTTTTTACGAACGATCTTTATCTTTTTAAAAGTAATTCAACAGAAACTCATATGAGAAGGTGTGAAAAAACGGAACTCGGAGCAGTATTGGATTCCACATGGTTTTAAGAACATTTCACAGAGTTGTGCAACCATCACCCCAAAATAAAATCTCATGCACACCGTCACTCCCCTTCTCCAGCCCTAGGAACCATGAATCTACCTTCAGTCTCCATAGATTTGCCACAGAATCACATAAAATGAAGTCTTTGTGCCTGGTTTCTTTTTCTTAGCATGATGTTACCAAGACTTATCCAGTGCAGTATCAGTACTTTAATTCTTTTTATCGGCAAATAATATCCCATCATATATGGACTTACCCCATTTTATCTATTCATTTATCAGTTAATGGACATTTGGATTGCTTCTACTTTTTGGCTATTAAAAATAATGCTACTCTGAACATGTGCATATAAGTTTTTGTGTGGACATATGCTTTCATTTCTCCAGGTTATATTTACCTAAGAGTGGAATGACTGGGTTAGATGACAATGTTACACTGAATCTTCTGAAGAACAACCAAACTGTTTTCCAAGAAAGCGCCATCAGTTTTCATTCCCACCCATCAGCAACGCAGGAGGGTTCCAATTTCTCTACATCTTTGCCATCACCCATTTTCTGTCTTTTTGGATACAGCCATCCTTGTTTGTGAATGGTAGTTCATTGCGACTGGTGCTTTGTATCTTAAACCAAGCCCACTCATTCTGAAATAAAGACTCAGCTATTCTTTCTAAGCTACACTTTTAAGTGTAAAATACACCCAACCATCATCCTGAAAACCTCAAATAAAGCCACCATCATCTAACACTCCCTTAATAAATGAAGGTGTCACTGCCATAGAATAGGCCCAATTATCCTACTCCAAGTCCTACCTAGCTACAGTAATGTCCAACAGCCAAACCTTTCTACATAAAGATGACAGACTAAACAGTCTGCACAGATATGAATGCAGCAGTAGAACCCTGAAACATATAACCACAACACAGTTTTAGCCAGAACCTTCAAACAAGAACACCGGGTTGGAATTCAGGTTTGCCAGTAATTGACAGGGAACCTGATCAATCACTACACCCAGCTCCTCTACACCCAAGCACGGTGTTCTGAGCTGCTCAAAGACATCGAGCCGTCTAAGCCTGAAAGTTTAATGCAATTTGAAAGTGTACAAACACCTGTGCTGAAGAACTAGCTTTGCACAGCAGAAAGAACTTCAGCTTGGTAGTCAGATGGGCCGGGTTCAATTTCCAGCTCTGCCATTTAGGGGCTATGTAACCACAGGTACATCATTTAGCATCTTTGTATTTCAGTTCCCTGAGCTGCAGGTAATCATGCCTGCTCCAGACGTTATGGAGATTCACGAAACAAGTACAGCTAGGGCCCCTGACACAGGACCAGCAAAAAGCAGGCATTTAAATGCCAGTTGGCATCCATCCTTCTAACTCTGGGCAAAGTTTCCCAGCCTGTGAAGACCTCTCCACAGACGGTGTGGGCCGTTTAGAACTGAACGTGAGTCCTTGTGACTTGCGGGATGCCCCCAGGAAGCACGCCTCCACCATGAGGTGGGACAATTGCCAAGGACAGCTATCAATCGACCTAAAACAAGTCTAGGGGGATTCCGGGCAGAGAGCAGGTATGAGAAGAGGCAAGACCCCATTTTGGTCGGGGACTCTGGAATGGAAACTTCCTGGGCTCACAGACAGGCCGGGCACGTCCTGGACGCAGAGGAGAGGCAGGCAGAGGCCATGCA